CTTCAGAAGCAGGAGCGCGCTGCTAGAGCCTCGGAGCTGCTCTTTTGTAGGGGCGTTTCATTCGAGTGTCCTCAGTAGACATCCGTCCGTTTGCAGCGGAGTACGAATTTCACGTATCTCGCAACTGCTTCCCACTTGTCTGCACTGGAGATCTATACCCCAATTATGTTGTTCGGAGTTATGTCTCCATCATCTATATAGATCGATAGACGCTTGCATTCTGTTATTCTCTATTAAGAATCGATGTTGTCGTATGAAACCCGATAATTAGTGTAGCTGATTTGTGCTGGTTCACAATAAAAAGTGAACAAAAACCAAAGCAATTCACAGCAATACATCTATCGGGCGTATCAAAACGATAATACGACAACTGATTTCGTACGATACGCTTGCAAGCGTTTATCGTCTATCGTATGAAAATCCATAACAGCGAAGTTAAAGTTCGTAAGTATAATTTTGTATACCCGAGCGCACTTGTGCACAAGGGTATTATAACTTTGTTCATATAACGGTTGTTTGTAACAGGCAAAACGAATCCGAGATAGGTATAGACAAATGTATACATAAATTATCAGAATGAAAAGAGAAATCGATTGAGCGGTGACTGTCTGTCCGTCCGCCCGTCTGTGCACCCGACAACTCGAGTAAAAATTTAAATATCATAACGAAACTTGGTACACGCACTTCTTTCGGCCGTAGGACGGATGGTATTGAAAATGGGCAAAATCGAAGAATAATCACAGCTACCTTCCATATAACGGAAGTTTTCAGAAATACGAAAACTGCGATATTTTAGTAACTACTAAAGATTATTCACTCAAAATTGATATTTAAAATTATTTTTTGACGAAAAATGGGAAAATTAAAAAAATGTTGAAAATGGGCGTAGCCACGTCCACTTATGATTATATGTGTATATCTTGGTAACCGCTCCACCAATCCCTCCCAAACTTGGCACAGTTGTTGGCCTTGGTACAACATAGTAAAAGGATGAAAATTTTTAAAATCGGCCAATAACCACGCCCACATCCCATATAACGGTAACTTAGAGAAATATGAAATCTTCGATAAATCAGTAAATACTAAAACTAATTTATTCAAAATTGATGCTTGCAATAATCTTTTACTAAGAAATATCTATGATAAAATTTTGAAAATGGGCGTGGCACCGCCCTCTTATGTTCACATATACGTATCTCAGTAACCGTTCTACCAATTTGTACCAATCTCGGTACAGTTATTGTGCTTGCCACACAAAAGCAAAACCTTGACAATTATTAGGTCCATTCAATAACTTTTCCAGTAAGTACTTGCAGCGAGAGCGTAAAAAAAATATAGAGTAAAATTGAGAGCAAGTGAAAATTTTCAGAAAAAGTTATTGAACGCAAAACTAGTAAAAACTTGCAGCTTAAGCCATTTTGACACTTTCTGACGGTTAAGTTTTGGCGCGCAATATTATTTTTAATTGGAAATAGTTCCCATCGTCATAAAAATAAAAAAAATATACAATAGATTTAAATTTTTCATCCATATTTCAATAATTATGTTTCATCAAATCATTTAACAGTTTGTTTACATTTGAAAGTGAAACATAACCTTACTTTTTGACTACTACTACTAGTAACAATTCGTAACAATTTTTTGATGTTGAATGGACCTATTGAAATCGGGCTAAAATTATGGCGACTTTTCATACAACGGTAAATTTCAGAAATGCTCGAAACTTCTATATACATATTTGATGTTGCCTTTTTTAAGATTGTTGCCTTTTTTTGCCTTTTTTAAGATATTTGCCTTTTTTTGCCTTTTCTACCTTTAAAAAAGTGATTATAGCATTTACAATTTTTTTTTAAATTAAAAAATATACACATGTCCATGCGGCTGATAGAAGCGCAGGGATCTCTTGCCAAATTGGTGTTGGAAAAATTCAAAGCCGTTTGCTCAGCTAACGTAGGCTTGGAGACAATGAGGGGTGCGGATAAAATTGTAAAGGGCGAGGAAAACGCCCTTATTCCTGATAATATGAACGTTTCAAACGTTCCACATTTTAATTGGGCTCAAGGCTTTTCTTCGCGAAAATCGAATGAAAATGCTGCCAGAAACCTTCAAAATCCATCTTGTGGTTCAATGTTACTACAACTATACAGATTAAAGTTTTATGAGTTAAAGCATAAACAGACGGCAGCGTTGATCCGGATCAGCTCGGGGAATTAACTGCGGTTGATCCGAATTAAGTCCGAGTTAATCCTGATCAACGCTGCCGTCTGTTTAAGCTTTTAGAAACTCGAACGGATAAAATAGTAAAAGATTCAAAGTACAAATTTTTCATATAATGAAACTAGTTCCTAGTTTTTCTCTTTTTAGTTGTAATATAAAATAAATGTATTTTTTGATTGTTCTTCGTATGTTCTGTCTTTTTTTAGTGCCTTAAACCTTTTTATGCAATACCTAGTGCCTTTTCTTGCCTTTTTCGCTATTTTGTTTTGCCTTTTTTGCAATACCTAGTGCCTTTTTCGCTATTTTATATTGCCTTTTCCAGCCTATTCCTTGGTAATAATTATCAGTCGTAAATATAGATGAAGTATTCCACAGTACGGCAGTTTTATCCACGCCTGCTTTGGCTTTTAAATTTTGTGATGATGTTTGTCAAGTTGGAAAGCGGTTTTCAACATGGCTTCACTTAAACCTAATTTACTAGTTAGAATAAATTCAATTGAAAATATGTTAGCTTTCTTAAAAACTACATTAAAAGACTACAATTTTAAGTATATTAATTTTTGGAAAATTACTACTATCGGGTACGAATAAATTTGAAAATTCGTGAAAAATAGTACCAAATAGTCACTTTAGGCCGCGTGGGTAACTTTCTGGTTAGTTGTATTAAAACACTGAGTACGCCATTCGCCTTAGCAGCTTATTCTTCAAGAGGTTAGATATCTTTTTTTTTCTTTCTTGTGCAAGATGAATGTGTTTTCATATAAGAACCTAAACCTACAGAAAAACAGTCTTATAAATCATGGATTTCGGAGAAGCTCATCCAGTTTTTTCAATAATTAAACTTTTTTCATTTTTTTAGGTTCTTAGCGTCTAATGCTTGGTTTTCATTAGGTCATATTTGACGTCAAATGTTGTGAAAATAATGAAAACGGGTTGACATATACGGTCAAATGCATTTGCAGTCAGTTTTGACCGAGCCCAGTCATATAAAATGACAGCTAAGTGAAAACGGCCCTCTATTTTCATATTCTGCTGCCGGAGGGAGGATCTGAAATACTTTAGCAAAAGAAGGCATCTAATGTACATACATCCAGAAAAGGTACTGGAAATTTATTTCGGCACAGTTGCATGCAAATTTTATCTTGCACTCAGCAAACGTGCTTTAAATTAAAAACGCTAAAATAACCAATAATACCTTAAATGCTGTAAGAGTAAAAAAACATTTGGTTTTATTATAGTCTAAGAGCTAGCAACGTTTTTTCGAAAGAATTTCCGGACAGCTTTTTTTTAATTTTTTCAAAAAAATCTTGAATGATTAATGAATTTCTCAGAAACAACTAAGTTTATAGAAAACTGATGCACATATATACTGTTTATGCAGAGTTTTTCTACCTTTCATTTGCTGCATTTCGTATAAGATGTACATACGTGATTAAGTGGAACTACTTTTTTTAAGCTGAATAACGGTAAATTGCAGATATCTCGAAAACTTATTTATGGAAAAAATACTCGATTTTCGGAATCAGCAAGCGATTCTGCATAGGAATTGGATAGTGGCATCCAGTGCGCATGTTTGTTGTAAGTCAGTGTTTTTTATGACACAATTATAATATAAAAATGTTATAAATATCAAAATGTTGGTGTTTTTCTTTTGCTTTTCTTGCTTTATTCCGACACTTTACAAGTTGATGTATTTTGAAATGTGTTAAGTTTTTATTTGCCTTAACGAATGTATTTGAAAAAATATATATATATAATTTTTGATATTCCAATAATTAGATGTATGTTATAACGTTAGATAAGTAGTTATAGTTTCCAGTTTTCATACTAATGTCCTATGAAAATTCACTATTTTGCTTCTATCTCCCTCACTACCAGCACAGTACTTTTCAGCTTTAAATCGATCAGGCTCTTGATTTAGCAACCGAATTAATGTCTGCCACATTAATTTTAGATTCATTCAAGGCGATTTTATATAAGGTGGTGTTACTAGCTCAGCTGATTTTGTGTATGTGTTTCGCCGCACGGCTTCTGATATCAAATTGAAAAATTTTGTTTGAATTTCTACACACACTCTTACAGATTTTGACAGTTTATACCGCCAAAGCAAAAACAAAATACATGTCAATTTTTGTTTTTGTACTCCTGCTATCACCTTATATTAATTAAACAACATCATATTAAATTTTGAGCTTTACTAAAATGAGTTGAAAAATAAATTTTTTTTAATAAAAAATGACGCCTGGCACAATGCTAGCAAAAACGGACATGTCTGGCAATAATAAATCTATGTTTCTAAAAGCTAGTTAAAGCCAATGAAAAGAAAATTAGCTTTACTAAAATGATTTAAAAAATAGCATTTTTAACTGTAAAGTTACGATGCAGTCATCTTAACCATTACCGCCTGCCAGATGGCCCCACTCTAACCGAGGGAGTGAGAGATGTCATATCAAAAAACCAGCTGGCTTGAAATGCCTGTTTTCACGACGTCGCTAGCTCCCGTACTATTAGTGTGGTCACGTGAGTAACGCGAGTCCGATATTCTTCTGATTCAAAGTATATGCTACGTTCAGAGTTGATCGAATTCATTGAGAAAGATGCATTCAGTAATAGCCCCGTCCACTTACATTCTGACCCAACACAACCTTGTTTTAATAGTAACTCATATTCTGGACAAGAAAATGTAACAGACTCAAAAATGCCATCTTTACAAAAATAAGTAACCATAAATAAGAAATTAAATAAGAAATATGTACAGCTCCGAAAGAAATTATATAGCTTCATTTAATATTTTTTTGTTTCTGGCTTAAAAGCATAAGTCTTTATTTACCGTTATTTATTAAAATGTTTACCGAATATGTTACTTCGTAATATATCTATACCTTTCCCAGCTAACGCGAATCATTCATTATAGCCTTTATGTCTTCTGCGTCAAGAGTTTCATACTTCAGCAACGCTTCAGCAAGAGCCTTATGCTCTTTGGTGTGTTTTTTTAATATCGCTTTTGCGCGTTCGTAGCTTTCATTCAAAATGCGCTTTATTTCAGCGTCAACAATTTCCACTGTGTTTGGACCCAGAGATTCTGCTGCAACAAGTCCTTTCGAATTGTCGAATGTACGAAGACCCACTCTCTCTGACATACCCCAATCCTTCACCATATGAGTAGCTATGGACGTAGCTTGTTTTAAGTCACTACTCGCGCCTGATGTGATTTTCTCTGTGCCAAATATTAACTCCTCGGCAGCACGTCCACCCATCATTGTATCCATCATAGCTAAGAGCTGTGCTTTGGTCACATGATATCGTTCTTTTTCAGGTATATAAGCAGTGTGTCCCAGGGAAGGACCGCGTGGCATAATTGTAACTTTATGTAACGGATGTGACTCCTATGAAAACTACGATTAAATGGATGTAAATATATACACAATTTTTTATCACCTTGGTATAATAAGCGACAATGGCATGCCCACCTTCATGGTAGGCTGTTATGAGATTTGCTTCTTCGTCCGGAAGGCGAGCTTTTCTTTCGGGACCCATGAGAACTTTATCTCGCGCACTTTCTAAATGCTTCATCGTAACGGTTTCGGCGCCATCGATAGCGGCCCTACCAAGAAACACCTATAATATTGTAAATCGTAACAAACCAAATATCAATTACCTCAAAGCAGCTTGATTGATCATGTTCTCCAAGTCTGCTCCTGTAAACCCTGATGTACCTCTGGCCAACATGTCTAAGTCAATTTCATCGTGAAGAATTTTTGTCAAATACAATGAAAGTATCTCTTTTCGGCCAGTAAAATCCGGCGTGGAAACCACAACCTAGGAACAAACAACATGTTACAATGGATGCATCATAGAATTTAATTTTTAACCACTGGTATACACACATTATAATCATTTCCTTACCTCGACGTCAAAACGACCTGGTCGTAGCAATGCTTGATCTAGATCATCGCGTCTGTTTGTAGCACCTAGTACGATTACACCAGTATTCTGATGAAAGCCGTCCATTTCAGCCAATAATTGATTAATCGTCTGGTTCGCATATGGATGCAATACTGAATTTGTTCGTTTTGCTCCAACTGAATCGATTTCGTCAATAAAAATAACACAAGGTGCCCTCTGTTTCGCCGCCTCTGAAGGGTGCATAAATCGCTTATAGAATATATACATATTTATATCACATTTTAAAATAATTAAAACTTACTAAACAGGTCACGCACTCGCCTTGCACCCTGACCCACCAGTACCTCGTCAAATTCCGGACCAGCGGCATGGAAGAATGGAACATTCGCTTCGCCAGCAACAGCTCGTGCAAGCAAAGTTTTTCCGGTGCCTGGAGGTCCCACCAGTAAAACACCTTTCGGTAGTTTACCACCAAGATTAGAAAATTTTTCGGGACTTTTTAGAAACTCTACGACCTCTTTTAATTCTTGTTTAGCTTCATCACAGCCTTTTACATCATCGAATGTTACATGGATCTCTTCAGGATCGACTTCTACTTGATTACCCAATTGTATTCTACTTTCATACGAAAATGAGTGACATATATGAACAGATTAATGTATGCAGTGAATGACTTAGTTATATAAGGTCAAACAGTCAGGAAAACATCTTATATACATATACATACATATATCGTCGTTTAAAGAATACAACCGCGTATCACGAAAATGCAAAACCTCTTATGGGAGGTTGCTCAAATTTAATAGGAGAGTAAAACTTGTTTTATTTCATAGCGGTTCTTTTGTTTATCCCTAATTATCTCTTCTTCTTATATCTATGTATCGATATTTTAGTATGAATGGATATGGACTTGATGCAAGGAGCTTCCGGTAAGCAAATATCTTTTTTGGCACAAATATCAGTTACGAGGTTTTGCAGAACTACGATACAGGTGTCGGACTTTAAACGACGATATACATACATATATATATTTACCTGAACATAGATCCGTTGGATGACGAAAATAAGCTTAAAAAAATACCAATGAAGACAACAATCACCAAGAGTTGTTGGAATACCTGCAACCAAAAAAAAAACTATAATTTTTATTCTTTTTCATTTTTTTTTGTACAACAAAGTGGTGGCCAAAACGTTCATATTAAAAATATGATGTAATAAAAACGCTTTCAGCTAAAATCACATCATTTTTAGTTTGAGTAAATTTTATAAGTGTACATATATGATAGTGTAACATGTAACGGTTTATATACGTAAAAGAAATATTGAATAATGAAGTTAAAGAAACAATAAAATCTTGCAGTGTCTTTACGGTATTTATGTATGTAGTATTCCTTCGAAATAAAGTTCCACAAAAACTTGAAGAGGGATCCTCCATAAGTGAGGAAATTAAAGAGTACCTCTTAAGTATATTTTCGGAAAAAAAGATTTGTTGGTATTGTACTCCTCTACCCTTTCGCTTGTGAGCCAAAAGGAGATCCTCAAAGTGAGCAATAAAAAAATGATCCATGTGGCATGATTTTGGAATAATAAACCAGAATTGTCGGTGAAAATATTTTGAATTAAAAAAATACACTGGGCAACCGACGCGAAACTATATGAAGGGATGTGGGTATGTATGACAGCATTTGATCGAACTCATGGGCCGATTGTTGGATTGGATTGCCAGGTGCTAAAATGGTATTACACATGACAAATGGCAACTGAGTTGCTAATTTCTTCTTCTTTTCTTCTTCTTATTAGGCGCTGTAACCGCTTAAGCGATTTTATCCGAATTCAACAAAGCACGCCAGTCGTTTCTCTTCTGTGGCAACTGACGCCGATTGCATATGTCAAGTGAAGCCAAGTTCTTCTCCACCTGGTCTCTGCATCGCAGTGGGGGCTTCCCTCTTCCTCTGTTACCACCATCGGATTCTAAGTTGAATACTTTCAGAGCTGGTGCGTCGGTGTCCATTCGAACGACATGGCCAAGCCAGCGGAGCCGCTGTATTTTAATT